GAGCATCGTGGAGCAGGTCATTTCTAAGTTGTACCCTTCTTGCCTGTGTAAGCCCAGGACAGAGGTGGCTTTGCCCCTCTTTGCTTAGATAAGAGCTGATCGTGGCCCCTGTGGCTGGGCAAGGTTTTGGTGTACTCCCCTTGACTGGTCAGCGCGAGCAAGCATCCCTCCTCAGACCAGTGCAGAAGGGATCTTCTCGGTGTTAGGTTGGAGAGCAGGTAGGTGAGTCCAGCCAGATTTATGAAGACTACGTCTTCCTCTACACTCCAGAGATGGCTTTCATCTCTGTTGTTTAGTTTTCAGTCCTGTGCCTACAACAGGGAGATTGTCTTTGTGTGATTTGAAAGTTCATAGTTTTTTTGGTGTTAGCATTGAGACAATACTAGTCCAAGGGCAAATCCTTTTCCTGTAGCTACCTGTCACTGGCTACTTCACAGTGTGCAGTGTGCCACGTGGCCTTGCCTTTCCCTTCTGGTCATGTGCTTTGTGTGATTGGCACAGAGCTGCCTTGAAAGAGACTGGCAGGTGGAAGCCAGTTCAACTCAGAATTTGTTTTTCTGAGGAAAGTTCAGAGTAGGGGAGAGTGAGGTGCCTTCTTACCTTCTTCCTCAGTGGACCTGCCGCAGAGATCAGAGCTGATTTCACCTGCCAACAGAGAGCCTCATTTCCAGTCTGGAGGAAACTTTGATTTCGTGTGTGTGTGTGTGTGTGTGTGTGTAAGATTTATTTGATTATTTGAAAGGCAGAGCAATAGGGATATAGGGAGAGGGAGAGAGAATCTTCCATTGGTGGTTCACTCCTCCAATGGCTACAACAGCCAGGTCTGGATCAGGCCAAAGCTGGGGGTCAGAGAGTCCATCCTGGCTCCCTACATGGGTGGCAGGGGCCTAAGCCCTTGGGCCATCTCTGCTGCCTTCCCAGGCGCATTAGCAGGAAGCTGGGTTGGAAGCAGCGTCTGGAACTGGCCCTCTGACGTAGGATGTGGTGTCAGCAGCAGTGGCCCCAGGCTCTCAGTTTTATTGTGGAGGCAGGGAAGGAGAACGAATCCTGCTGGGCAGCTGTGCCAGACGGAGCTGCCCTCCCCCCTTCTGATGCTTGTCTGCCCTTCATTGGCCTGGGCCGTGCCGCTGCGCTCTCCCCAGGCTGCCAAATGCTCTTGAAGTCCAGATTTTTGACAGTCCTAGCAAAATGATCCATTTTTGGTTTCAATTTTTAAGCATCACTCTTCTTCAGAAGTAACCCAGGTACTAATTAAAGGTGCTTATTTTGGGGCCTGTGGAAATCAGAAAATGCATAATCTTTCTGGCCTAGGACTTCAGATTTAAATTTTAACCCCTTTTGCTTCCTTGCTGTGGATGATTGCCCCAGGGCACTGGTGAGTGCTCCAAAGCTCAGGGCTGTGCTGGTGGGGAGCACTGTGCCTAGAAATGCAAATGATGTACCTGGGAACACTTGTTGATCATGGGGAAAGCCCACTCGACCCGTGAAGATACTGCAGTTTGAAGTGTACTTTTTGGCTTGTTCCTGTGCCTGCAATAGTCGGTTTCTGGCTGTCCTGCGCCTCCCTTACATATATTCAGTATATCTCACTGTGTTCACGCGAACTGCTATAGAGAAGTCTCTCGCAGTCTCCTGAGATACTTGTTCCTAAAAGTTATAGGGCCTCCACCAAAGACACTGCTAGGTATGTGATTAACCTACAGGAATTCAAAGTGGGGCATTTGGCTCAGCGTCCCAGATGGCTCTGATTCCAGTTCTAGCTTCCTGAGAATTCTAGCACACCCTGGGAAGCAGCAGATGACGGCACAAATGCTTGGATCCCTGATACCTATGTGGAAGACCCGGATTGAGTTCCCGGCTCCTGGCTTTGTTCTGACCCAGCCCCGGCTGTTGTAGGCATTCGAGGGGTAAATCAGTGGATAGAAGATCTCTGTCTCTGTCTCTCTCCCTCTGAAACTTCACCTTTTAAGTAAATAAAAATAAACATGAAAAAGAATTCACTGGGGCTGATTTAATGAGAAGTTGTATGTGAATAGCAGCAGCATATGCTGCTTCTCAATGTCTAGGCTGACTGTCGTTTGGAAGTACTAGTCTCTTTTGATGGGGAAGAAGTATTTTATCTTACTAGGTCTGGTCTCTGCTGAGACAAGTGAAAAAAGATTTTGATTGAAAATTAAAAAAAAACAGCTGTTCAAGCGAGCCGAGTAGATGTATTAACAACTTATTCTTTATGGCATGAGGAGCTCTGACTCATTTCTGTCTTTTGGCTCTAATTGGAAACGAGAGGTTCATTGTGTTCTGTTGTCACCTCTAGTCTGACTTTAGTTAAGATCTCTTGTCTGGAAGCAGGCAGTTCACATACCTACAGGTTTTCATTTGTGAAGTAAGGATTATTTTTGCCATTATTACTTGATAATCTTCAGTTGTGATTTTTCTATTTTTGACTATTTCCATCCATCTCATATTAGGATATTATAAGATTCAAATTTTTGCTTCTAATAAGCCATGAACTTGGTAGAAGACGAAAGTATGACAACTTAAAAAGTGTGTCTAGAAATGTTGATTGGATTGTATTTTCATTTTTTTATAATTAGTTGAAATATTCTTACATAAGCAATGAAACAGTTATTCAGTGCTATTTCAATATGAGTTGTTGTGATGGTTCATATTGAGATGGATATCTTTTTAATACAGTAGATGTTCCTGATTTTGTAATCAAGCTATAAGTGGTTACATCATTGTGTATAACATCCTTTAGCAAAGGCCAGTCTTTGGATAATTTTACAAGTATTCGACCAAATAGCAATTAGAATTTTGATGTTCAAATCTTGCTGATAGCAAATGCTGTTAATTAGGTAAAGTTTGGCTGTTGAGTAAAATTTTATGTTTTAACTAACGTATTCAATAGTTAAGTGAATCTTGTGTAACTGGAGGGCTTAGGGAATGGAGTGTTTTTACTTGTTCAATTTTGTAATTAAGAGTTTGTTTGGAATTTAAAAAAAAATTCTCAAGTACATTAGTATTTTTTGTGAAAGAGCCAACTTTTCTTTGAGTTACTATCTTTTGCTATGTGTGGTCTGTCGAATAACTGGGGAAGTGATTTCCTTTACTTCTCCGTTTCAGTCTTCTCTACCTATTGTGACTCTGTACCTTCTCCTTCAGTGCTGAGTGATGAAATGTGTTTTACCATCTAGGTATACTTGGTACAGAACTGATATTTTCATAGCAGGTGTCTCTCTTCTTGTGAATTCAAGACTCACCTCAAAATGCCTACTGGACCCCTTCATCTGGGTGTTGTACAGACATTTCTGATTCAGTATGGCTAAAGGAAACCCCTCTGTCTCCCCAAACTGCTGTTCCTCCAGGTTTCACTGTGTCTGTCAGTCCATGCACCACCAGCAGAAGGCAGAAAGCTTGGACTCATTCTTGAGTCTTCGCTTTTCTTTTTCCTGCATGTGCCAAACTCTGTCAGTTGTAATGAGTCTACTATCAAAAGGTCTTTTTGAATTCCTTCCTCCTGCCCATATCTGGGCTGTGTCGCATCATTGTGTCTGTCTCTCAGATTACCGTAAGAACCTTTTAACTGACTTCATCCACTCAGGCAAGATTGCAGTCTCTACTGGAAGCCAGACTGCAAATCCCATCAGTTCACTCTCACTTTCAAAACTCTTTTGAGCCCTCAGGCCATAAGGCCTTCAACAGTAGTTCTCCCCGTGCACCTCTCCACCTCTGTTTCATCAAAGGAGAATTCTTCAGATATCAGACTTCCTCTTAGATTCAGAGTTTTGCGCCTTCTGTTACATTAGACTTTCTCCTTTTGCTTGGTTGGCCCCTGCATTTCCTTTTAGCATTTTGGTGGACGTTACTTTCTCAGTCTGTGTCTGCACTGAGCACCTTTTGTAATCAGAAGCCTGTGTGCAGCCTGGAGCTTTAACTGCCGTCGCTCTATCCTTTGATAGCCAGTGGTCTGGAATCACACACCGTGCTTGATGCTTGCTCTTCCAGGCCTTTTTACCCCAATTCCACTGTGATCTTAGGAGGCATCTATAGGAAAGGAACTTACCCAGACCGTTAACCCACTATTTCCTGTGCTACTACATCCTGTGGAGTACGTTGTTGAAAAGTGCTCCCAGGTCAAGGCGTCGGGTGGCCTGAGTTGACAGTGCTCCGGTTGAGGTGAGCAGCTTGTGTGTTCAGGTTGGGGTGAGCAGTGAGCGCATTGCAGATCAGTCTTCCCACTGGAAGCTTCACACATCAGCGCTTTCATTGACTAGATTCAGAGGAAATTGACTTAAAAAAAAAAAAAAAAAAAAAGGTAGAGAAGCCCCTGGAATGGAATCCATCATTTTCTCTGCCCCACAAGACTTAGGGAGTGGAGATCTCCGGCTGCCCTCACCTCCCTGGAGCCAGAGTCAGGTCCCTGCTTCTCTAGCCTCATATGAACAGTCCTGCTCCTTTGAGGCTCATGTGATTCAGTTCTTTCAGCCATTGTGAGTAGGTTTTCTCACGTCCTGTCCTTGTCCAGTGGTAGTAGCTGCCTTTAGTACCGTCTTGAGAAGGAATCTAAGCCTCATCTTAGAACCTTCCTGAGCTCCAGTAATACTCACCTCCAAGCTACTTTATATACTCACTTGTGTGACCATAGCCGAGACTTCATCGCTTTCTAAAATCTCATGTTCTTTCCATTGCTTCATCTCCCCCTTTCACTACCGGTCTTAAGACTTTTTGATGTTTTATAGTCCTTGATGTCTCTGTGTTTTCCCAACCCCTTTAGCTTTCCCTTGCATCTTTTCCTTTCTTACATGACCCGAACTGCTGAGCCGTTCTCACTTGCATTTTCTATTCCCTTTTACATGCTAATCCTTCTACCAAATCAGCCCAGCAAAAACTCAGCTCTGGGTCATGCAGGCATCTTCTTCTTCTTCTTCTTCTTTTTTTTTTTTTTTTAAAGATTTATTTATTTACCTGAAAGTCAGAGTTACATAGAGAAGGAGAGGCAGAGAGAGGTCTTCCATCTGCCAGTCCACTCCCCAGTGGCCGCAACAGTTGGAGCTGTGCCACACTGAAGCCAGGGGCCAGGAGCTTCCTCCAGGTCTCCTACGTGGGTGCAGGGGCCCAAGGACTTGGGCCATCCTCCACTGCTTTCCCAGGCCACAGAGAGCTGGATTGGAAGTGGAGGAGCCGGGACTCGAACTGGCGCCCACATGGGATGCTGGCACTGCAGGCAACGGCCCTACCCGCTATGCCACAGCGCTGGCCCCATGCAGGCATCTTTTGTGCTGGTCTCCACACTTGGAGTACTGAGCACAATGACCACTACCACAACAGCTCCCAGAGCGTGGCACTATACATCCAGGGTCTCCAACCTTGCTGGAGCTTCGGTTTTAATGAGACCTCCATCTGCTTATCCTTGCATTCTGCTCTCTCATTTCCGTCACCAGCAATTCTAGTTCCACACTAAGCTTCTCCCACACTCTGCGTCCACCACCCTCCTGGCTCTCTGCAGCTCATCTTGTCCTGCCCTGCACCAGTGTATCCTGTAACTCCCTCTTCCTTAGCAGTGGGTCTTCTTCCAGAGACTTCTCGACCGTTTCGAGGGGTTCTCAGGTGTCTTTCCTTGCAGGAGAATGGGTTTGTATTGTTCGAATGCATCCTTCTGTGCTATTGGTTGCATTCCCTCCCAAGCCCTTTACGTTATTGCTTCATCAGTCACTTTTTCTCTTTGCTGTTTTTAACTTACCCTCTCTCCCACCCCCTTGTCTGGTTTAAGCACCTACTTAAATGGTGCATCTTTTAATGATGGGGATGCTTTCTGAGAAATGTGTTAGGCGATTTCATCATTGTGAACATCATGTAGTGTACTTGCGAGGTAGGAACATAGGCATTAGCCTACATCTGAGAGAGAGACCAAGGAACAAACACATTGGCTTAGGCCTGTACGGGGTCATGCTCATCAATATCACTTGCACATCTTGTCCCACTGGAAGGTGGTCAGGAGCAGCAACATGCATGGAGCTGTCATCCCCTGTGATGCCAAAGCCGCCTTCTGGACGCCTGAAGGAGCTGCCTGGGACTATGTATAGTAACCTTGTTTTTATAAGTAGTGCTCTGTAATGATAAGGTTAGTACAGTCAGTCTGTAAACCAGTAGCATAGTTGTCTGTTGTTAATTGTCCAGCATCCAGACTGCATGTGCTATACTTTTAAACAATGGCAGTGCAGTAGGTGTGTGGACACCAACATCACCACAAACATACAAGCAGTGCGTTCATATGACGATACAATGGCTGTGACATCACTAGGTGATAGGAGTTTTTCAGCCCTATTCTACTGTTGCCAGGCCACCATTTTGTATGTGGTCCATCCTCCACCAAAGCATCGTTGTGTGGCACATGACTCTCAGAGGTCTCTTAAGAAAAACAGTGTCCTGCCTGAAGCCTGTGTGTCCATTCTGTTACTGGTTTGTATCTACTTTCAACCAAACTTTTTGAAAAAGTAGTCAGCAATGTCATCTTCATTTCTTCACTTTGGGTTTTCTCCTTAGCACTCTGCAACATGACTTCTCTCTTCATGCTGCCAACACTGGCCACTAAGGGCCTCATTGACTGCTGTCAAGTTCATGGATATTTTCAGTCCTCTCCTTAGTGAGCCACCTGTGACACTGTTGGATGTCTGTGTGCTATTCTCTGCTCTCTTGAACCCTACACTGGACTCTGTAATAACACCCCTTCTAGGACCACCTCCTCATGGTTGACTCTGTCCTCTGGTTCTCTTGTTGGTTCCTGTTCCTCCACAGCTGGCTTAACTGCTTCTGTTCTGCAGATTTCTCTCCACCTCTGCCCTTCCCTATACACAGAGGTTCTTGACTTTTCCTTATAACCTTTAAACAATCTGTTGAAAATTATGGATTCTCTCCCACAAATAAACAAACAGGCTGATACACAGGAAATGGAGTGTAAAGTGTCAAGAGTCACGGGAAGCCCTGGGAAGAATGTGTTCTCTGTGTTCTAGCTAGGTGATAGGCACCCTCATGCTTTCAGTTGTGTCTTCAGAGAGATGACTCTAACTGTAAGTTTATCTTGGCTTCTCCCTTTCACCCGAGACCCGTGTTCTTTCTTTTTCCTTGCCTGGCTTCAGACCCTCCTGACCTCTGAGGCAGACGCTGCGAACAGCTTCTAACTCTTCTCCCTGCCTCAGGCTGCTGCCCTTCAAATCTGTCCTCCTCCCAGCCCCTTCAGCTTTCAGCACAGGTTCTCCATTTCCTACAGAAGTGGTTCCACACCCTTGCAAGGACACCCAAGCCTCTTTTGAGGAACTTCATTGCTCTTTTGTGTCTTTGAGGCCCTTCCCGTCCATTTCTTTCTTTCTTTTTTAAGATTTATTGTATTTATTTGAAAGAGTTACAGAGAGAGGTAGAGACAGAGAGGTCTTCCATCTGCTGGTTCACTCCTCAGATGGCCTCAATGGCCAGGCCTGCAGCGATCTGAAGCCAGGAGCTTATTCTGGGTCTTCCCTGCAGGTGCAGGAGCCCAAAGACTTGGGCCGTCTTCTACTGCTTTCCCAGGCTACAGCAGAGAGCTGGTTTGGAAGAGGAGCAGCTGGGACTAGAACCGGCGCCCATATGGGATGCTGCTGCCTCAGGCCAGGGCTTTAACCAGCTGCACCACAACGCTGGCCCCCTTCCCATCATTTCTACTCCACTAGTGAGGGCAGGTGGGTTTAACTTGAGTGTGATTCCACCATTTCCCCCTCTTCCTAACTTCTGCCTCATGTTCCAGTGACACCAAACTTCTTATTCTCTGCGACTTGATTCACACTGTTCTCCTGGTTTGGAGCACTGTTCCAGCCCCTAGTTTTATCTGATGATGATTTACCAAGCAAACACTCCTACCTAATTTCAAGATTCACTTCCACTTCCATTCCTTGTGCCTGTTCATACCATCTTGAAGTTCTGTTTCCCAGTGCTGTTGGAACTGATAGTTGAGCAGTTAATTGGAAAAGCTGGAGTTAACAAAAAAATGCCTACTATAAATATTTAAATTCAACTTAAATACATTCATTTTCCAATTTTTAAGTGATGACCAAGGCATTTTCTTTGGAGTGTGGATACTTGATTGGAATTCATTGTTCATTCTTGATTAAGCTGCACCCAGAATGCACCCTCTAGATTTCTAGTTTTGGTTTAAATGGAAAAAAAAAAAAAAAAAGCAAGCCACTTATGCAGTGATTTGAGTGCAGAATTCTGGTGTATGACTCACCCCCCCCCCCCAAATCCTTTCAGTAGTGCTGTCCTCTCCTAGTTCTGTAGCAGTTTGTTTTTCTTACAGAGACTCACCTTTATCATGTCTTTTCCAAGGCATTCAATCATAGAAATACCACTTGTCTTTCTTTTTCACTTATATTTTATGGTTTGTTTAATGTTTAATTGAAGTGTATATTTTCTGATATAAGATATGGTTTATGAATTCATTCAACTGCTTGGAGCAGAGGTGCCGTGTGATCAGTAGACATCAATCAGTGTTGTACGGAGGGAGTGGACATTGTGTTAATTTATCTGGCGTGCTGTTGGATGGAAGTTAGTTAAAAGAGTTTCTCCTGTAGTCATTTTCCTCACCTCTCCCCTTTTTGGAGTATGAGCTCTCTCAAAGGTAGGGACTATGTATTTTTTCATTTTTGTTTATCTGATCTTTCCTTCTGCATAGTATCTACTACTAAGTAGATATTCAGCATGTATTTGTGAGATGAATGAACAGATTGTCATGTCGGTTCATGCTACTGCATTGGAATAATCAGAAAGAACACTGGTTTGGGACTCAGCTGGGACAGCTAAGTCATTGCCTTGGCACAAAATAGAGGTTTGAACCCTTTTGTTTGTATTCTTGAGCAGATTGCACTCCCTTTTTTCATTGAGAAATGGGGGTAGCAACCCCCTTATGATTGTGTGAGGATTAGCTGAGCATGTGAAGTGTCTAGCACAAGGTCTGACATAATGCACGATAGCCTTGATAATGTTTGTCACCAATCAGGAGAACATGGGAATTCACTTGATCTGACTTATCACGGACAGGATTGCATGGCCTGTGTTTCCTTCCTGCTCCAAAATTCTCATTGCATAAAGAATGCTTCATGTTTTAGACAGATTTGTATAACAAATATAAGTGTATTTCTTGAGATTTCACATTTGTAGATTTGATAAAGTAGGTTGGTAGATGATGATCAGCTTATACCTTGAAAAAATAATTTCAGGTTGTAGGACATCATTTGTTGGTAAGTTGAACTTTCTATTAAAGTGTGCAGACTAGCTTAGCTCCACTAGTCAGTGTTAAATTATCAGTGTTAAGAGCCAAGGTAGAGGTGGAGATGGAAGGTCTAAGGAGATTGCTTCCAGGCAAGAAGTGAAATAAAATTAAGCTCTTTAGATTAATTTATGAACAGGCCAAACTTTTTACTAAACACAGATCCTACTAAAGTATAACAGCAAGGATTTATACTGTCTTCATTATAAAAAATTATGAATGTAGTTTTGGGGTTTTCATGTTGATCACATTTTTCTTGATGTGTGATTTTAAAAATGAGGATTGGGCACGAAAGATGGAAATGGTACTGAGGCTGTCTTCCATTCTACATCTCCAAATTTGGTATGTTTAAAGAAGTTAAGACAATTAGAATTGTTTTCAATGTTTATTCTGGAGCTGAAGCTAATACTGTTTTTATACTGCAGTTATCCTTTGACATGGAACAAGATGAGTTCTTTGGGGAGAAAGCATTCCAGCATTGTTGTGCAGAATTCATCAAACATTCACAACTGATAGGCGACGGATGGGAATGGAGAACGTCTAAGGTAAGGACAGACATTTTTATGTCCTATTTCAATGGGGGGCGTTCTTCCCTGCCCCACCATGTAAAACCTCACTAATTGAAACGGAGGTATGAAAGCTGGTTTGATTTAATAAAAGGTTTAAATTGAAGTGTTTTTGAAACAGATGTCCAGTTTATACTTCAATTCTATATACTTCTTGTTATTAGCTAATGAGGTATTATCTAAAAAGTCTGGAGGTCACCTGCTTAATTTAAAAAGAATGCTTGGCCTATTAACACCTGAATGTAGACAGAGCTTCTGTGGTCTACGTCTACTTGCCTACATTATTTTCTTAGGAAATCACTTTTGTCCAGAGAGAGAAAAAAGATAATGCTGGGATCAGGCTTTAGTCAGACAGCCGTGGACTCCCAGATGCTGAAGGTTGTATTCAGGGAAACTTAGGAATGTATACACATTCCAAAACCTGCTCTCTTTGGGTTCCCTTAAGGAATAATGCGAAAAGCCCAGGCACCCACCTACTTCCACAGATTCAATGAATAAAGTTTGATGCCCAGAGTTCCTTAAAATCCTTTCTTAGAGATTATGTTTTTTTCCTTGGCATTTTATCTGATTTTTCAAAGAATATTTTATTTATTTGAGAGGTAGAGTTACAGAGAGAGGGAGAGACACAGAGAAAGGTCTTCCATCTGCTGGTTCACTACCCATATGGCTGCAATGGCTGGAGCTTAGCCAATCTGAAGCCAGGAACCAGGAACTTCTTCTGGGTCTCCCGCATGGGTGTAAGGACCCAAGGACTTGGGCCATCTTCTGAATTCCCAGGCCATAATAGATAGCTGGATCAGAAGAGGAACAGCTGGGACACAGACTGGCACCCGTATGGGATGCTGGGGCACAGGCGGAGGCTTAGCCCACTACACCACAGCACAAGCCCCAGATTCTTAAAAAGTCATGAGTTCTGATTTCTCTGCTGGTTCTGTTTCTTTTATGCGCCGTGAGAAACGTGAACAGTTTTGAACTGGTTCCTGTTACTCAGAACTGGGCCACAGAGATGTCTTGGTTGGGTCCAAATGTCCCCAGGGAGAGAAGCCATGGTGCCCTCTTGGTTGCTTTGCCAATGCAGCTGTGGCAGAGTGGCTCGTGGAGGGTCCAGAGGTGGAGGGCCAACCGTGTGGTAGATTGCAGCCCCACTGTGCGGACGCGTGATGGGCCAGTCTGCAAGGCCTGTGGCAGTCTCCCTGTGCAGGATGATGTGCCTTACTGCTCCTGGGTCCTTTGTACTTCTGCTTGCTGTTGTGTTTGAATTTTCAGTTGACTCATTTCTTCTGTTGTTATTGCTGATATAGAAAAGCTCTGTTGATTTTTACACAGTGCATGGCTGACCGTCCTGTCCCACGTACTCGCTGTGAGTCGCTGGCATTTCCCCTGTCTCTTGAGCCTCAAGGGCACTGTGAGGTCATCTGCAAATGAAACTTTTGCTGTGGTTGTTACCTTCTCTGTGTCTATTATTTTATGCACTGACTAGAAAAATATTAAGTAGTGGTAGTATCAGATTTCCTGTCTTGAGCCTGACTTTAGGTTTTCTGTGCCTTTTGACCTGTAATAATTTGTGTGGCTATTCCTTGGGAATCATCCCTTTATGCTACTTTTTTTTTTTTTTTAAATGAGGGGCCAGTGTTGTGGTGGTGTGGGATCAGGCCACTGCTTGGGATGCTTACATCCTGTATCAGAGCACCGGTTTGACTCCCAGCTACTCCACTGCTGATCAAGCTCCCTGCTAATGCACCTGGTCCCCTGCCATCTGTGTGGGAGACCCAGATGGACTTCCTGTATCCTGGTTTTGGCCTTGCTTAGCCCTAGCTGTTGCAGCCATTTGGGGAGTGAACCAGTGCATGGAAGATAGATCTGCGTGTCTCTCTCTCTCTCCTTCTGTCTCTCTCTCGCTTCCTTTTGAACAATAAATGAAGGAATCACTAAAAAAATTAAAAAGGAGAGTTTCTTTTATCTTAAGCTGGAGGGAGGGTGATGAAGTTCCTATAATCATTTGAGAGGCCTCCAAGGGTGAGGAAGGGATTGATTAGAGGGGAGCTGGGACTGTGTATGCCTTTGTCACAGGGTGTAGGCAGGGACTGCAGCAGGTCTTGAGGAGGGAAATTATATCTCTCAGGATTTTTTTCAGTGAAATTTTAAATAAATGTCTCGAACCAGTTTGCAGGATTTGTTTTTGTTGTTGGTCTGTCCCACGAGAGATAGAGCCAAGTATATTGCCTTTTGTTTGCTACTGCTGGCTGCTGACTTAGGAGGGTTCCTTGCTCTTTCTGGAGAGAGTTAGGCCCTGAATTAAAGACAGTTCCTTTTCAGGTGGAAGTGACGCCGTGGATAGTATCAGAACAAAGCAAAATATCCTTCAGAGAGAAGTCTTTCCACCCTAGGGCATGGACTGCAAACTGCAGCATCTGTGGAGACCAGAGTGATAATGTAGGTGGACGAAGCTGCCAGGGATGAACAGGGTGGAGACCACGTCTTGTGGTCTGTGGCTGCCCAGAGAGCTTTGCTCAAAGCCAAGCTGGAAACGCAGGACCGTTTGTTAATAGATCTTTTGACATTTCAAAAGAAGGGCAGAGTTCAGATTTGAGAGGAGAGTTCTCTCAGTGTTTAAATGTTGACAGCTAATTCTAAAAGATGTTTTCCAAACATCAGGAAGACTAAATCAAACATTGTTGACATATGATGTGTGGGCTATGTATGGCCAGTTCTCAATAATGCCCACAACAACTGCTATAGGATCAGTATTGAGCCAGGAGCCTGGCACTCAATCCATATCTACTACATGGATGGCAGGGACCCAACTACTTTGAGCTATTGCTGCATCCCAGGGTCTCCATTAGCAGGAAGCTGGTTGGAATAAGGAACCAGAGCTGGGACTTGAACCCAATACTCTGATATGGGATATGAGTATCTTAACCAGAGTTTTAACTACCAGACTAAGTGCTTGCTCTAAACACAGTCTTTTCCTTTTACATTCTTACTGGGATGTAACTGAAGAATAAATAGTGCTATAAAGAAATCTTAAACATCATTCTTAGTAGTCTGTTAGTATACTATTAGTATTGTATATTTTGCGATTATTTAATGCCTATTTTGCAACAGTGCAAACAAGTACTTAGATTAATGTCATGAGGCAAGATTTAGAGTATAAGAGAAAAGTGATCAATTTAAACCAAAGATGTTAGATAAAAATCTTGTAATATTAACTCTGTATTGGAAGTATCAATAAGAATTCAGGTGATATATTTTTAAGCTTTGTTCATTGAAGTGCCCAGATTGTGATTTATTTTAAGTACCATTCTCCACAAAGAGGAAACAGAGATTTTTGGAGGAATGGCTAATTCTAAGTCTGGGGGAGGAAGTATACAAGGTGAGTCTGAGTTAACTTGTTGACTTGACCAGAATGTAAGGAAGTTAGAGGTTAGTGGTTGGTGAGATCTTGTCCACTTGTCAAAGATAAGCCAATATGTGTAACATAAGTAATGAGGAATGAAATTGTTAGAATCTGTTAAAAACATTAAATCTCTTAAGAACCAAGCATTCACATTGTTAGAAAAAGAGAGAACATCTACTCCGCTAATTGAATGTCATTGGAAGTATCGAGGACATCAGTGTCTTGATCTGAGAATTGATAATCCAAAGGAAAGAAATAGGCATTTATCCCACCTGTATAGTTCATCCTTCCTGAACTGTATTTCATGGTAACCAAATAGGCTAATTTTCCTCCCTCCTGTCTAACAAACATAGAAAGACGGGTAGAATTAGAAAATCACTCTCTTTCAAACCCTAATGAAATGAATAAGGTGACACTAATTGGTGGGTTCAACAATTAGGTAAGGAATTAGGGATGAGGAATTTGCCAAGGAGATCTTGACCTGTCGTCACCAGAGCCCAGTACTCACTCTTGCTGTTTCCATGACGGTTTTGTAACGTGAGTCACAGGGTACCATCTATGATGTGTTTGTGCCCCAAAATGGAAGTCAGGTGATAGAGGACCAAGTTAGTTAACACTAGAGGCAATAAACAGAAGAATCCAGACATCTAAAGGACGACTGACTGGATTTCTTCAGAAAGTCAGTGGTAGGAGAAAGAAGCCAGAGGACTGTGTCTCAACCCAGGATTGAGGACCAGGTTCTTTGTTTCTGTTTTTTAAATATCCTATTCTGGCAGTGACTAGTACGTGGTTCTAGTGCCCAGTGGGTGTCAGAAAGTGCCCCTTGGTTCAGTGGTGGAGGTCCCCCTCAGGCCTTGGAGGTCTCTCCAGCATCAGCTTGCTATGGAAGCTGTGTGCCTACTTCCCTGTGTTGTCCTGACCTTGTTGGCCTGTAACAAAGAGTTGTAGACAATGCCAAATTGGTTTGGAACTGGCAACCGTTAGCTCTAAAACTGGCACTAGCTGAAGCAATACTTTGCAGGGTCTAGGTCTAGGTTAGCAGAAATTTAAGAGACATACCCTATTGTAAATGTGTGAACCTTAGTTGGATCCTGATTCAAAGAAATCATTTGTAAAAGGAATTTTTTGTTGTTTTTTGAGATAATAAGGGATATTTAATTATGGAATAAGGTATAAAAGGATAGCAAAGAGTTTTTAGCAAAACCAAACCAAACTAGGGATAGGTGAAGCAAATGTGGCAACATCTTTGTATGTATCGAATATGAATAATGTGTACATGAATTTAATTTTGGTATTATTCCCTCTACTTTCATGTTCTGTACATGTATACTTCCCTCTGTCTTGCCAAAATTTGCTTACATTCTCTGTGCTTTATTTCTAATTAGAAATGTTCTTAGTTTATCTTGGATCCAACAGCCCCTTTTGGGGATTTGTGCAATGTTAAGACTCCAAACCAACTTGCCTTCTAGAGTTTTTTCTTTTTGTGTGTGTGTGTTCTAGTTGTAGATCTCAGTTCTGTGATTCTACTATTTACAATTTCTTAATAAAAAGTAATTTCCCACAGGTTTTCAGCTTCCTTCTC